GATCCCACCTACTTTATTCTTTCTCAGGATCGCTGCAGCTATTTGGGGTCTTTTTTATATTCCAGATGAATTTTTGGAGAGTCCGTTCTAGGCCTGTGAAATATGCTGTTGGTATTTTAATGGGAAGTGCGTTGAATTTATAGATTGCTTTGGGTAGTATGGACATTTTAATGATGTTGATTCTACCAATCCAAGAACATGGTATGTTCTTCCATCTGTTTATGTCTTCCTCTATCTCTTTTTTCAACGTCCTGTAGTTTTCTGAGTAGAGGTCTTTTATCTCCTTAGTTAAGTTTATTCATAGGTAGCTTAATTTTTTTTGGTGCGATGGTAAATGGGATTGTTTTTTTAGTCTCTCTTTCTGTAAGTTCACTATTGGTGTATAGAAATGCCATAGATTTCTTGGGGTTAATTTTGTATCCTGCTACATTGCCGAATTCTTTTATTAAGTCTAACAGTTTATTGATGGAGTCTTTAGGGTCTTTTATGTATAATATCATGTCATCTGCAAATAAGGACAGTTTTACTTCTTCTTTTCTAATTTGGATGCCTTTTATTTCTTCTTCTTGTCTAATTGCAATGGCTAATACTTCCAGTACTATATCGAACAGGAGTGGTGAGAGTGGACATCCCTGTCTTGTTCCTGTTCTTAGGGGAAATGGTGTTAGTTTTTGTCCATTGAATATGATGTTGGCTGTGGGTTTGTCATATATGGCTTTTATTATGTTGAGGTATGATCCTTCAATTCCCACCTTGCTGAGAGTTTCTATCAAAAATGGATGTTGGATTTTGTCAAATGCTTTTTCTGCATCAATTGATATGACTATGTGTTTTTTTCTTTCAATTTGTTTATGTGATGTATCACTTTTACTGATTTTCGGATATTGTACCATCCTTGCATCCCTGGGATAAATCCTACTTGATCGTGGTGTATGATCTTTCTGATTTACTGCTCGATCCGATTTGCTAAGATTTTGTTGAGGATTTTGGCATCTATGTTCATGAGGGATATTGGCCTATAATTCTCTTTCATTGTGTTGTCTTTACCTGGTTTTGGTATTAGGGTGATGCTGGCTTCATAGAATGAGCTTGGAAGTGTTCCTTCCTCTTGGATTTTTTGTAGTATTCTGAGGAGGATAGGTTTTAGTTCTTCCTTGAATGTTTGGTAAAACTCCCCTGTGAATCCATCTGGTCCTGGGCTTTTGTTTGCTGGAAGCTTTTTGATGACTGCTTCAATTTCTTCCATAGTTCAATAACTGTTGAGATTTTTACATTCTTCTTGATTGAGTTTTGGAATGTTGTATTTTTCTAGGAATATGTCCATTTCCTCCAGGTTGTCTAATTTGTTGGAGTAGAGTTGTCCATAGTATTGTTCAACAATCATTTGTATTTTTGTGGGGTCTGTTGTTATTTCACCTCTATCATTTCTGATTTTGTTTATTTGGGTCCTCTCTTTTTGCTTCTTGGTGAGCCTGGCTAAAAGTTCATCAATCTTGTTTATCCTTTCAAAGAACCAGCTCTTGGTTTCATTGATTTTCTGTATTGTTTTTTTGGTCTCTATGTCATTTATTTCTGCTCTAATCTTTATTATCTCCTTCCTTCTGCTCACTCTGGGCTTTTCTTGTTGCTCTCTTTCTAATTCTTTGAGTTGTAGAGTTAGAAGATTTACTATCATTTTTTCTTGTTTTTTGAGATAGGCCTATAGAGCTATAAACTTCCCTCTCAGGATTGCTTTCATTGTGTCCCGTAGGTTTTGGATTGTTGTGTTTTCATTGTCATTAGTTTCCAGGATGTTTTTAATTTCTTCTTTGATCCCATTGGTAACCCAATCAATATTTAATAACATGCTATTCAGCTTCCAAATGTTTGAGTATTTTGGGTTGTTTTTATTGTAGTTTATTTCTAATATTATGCCATCGTGGTCTGAGAAGATGCTTGGTATGATTTCAATCTTCTTGAATTTGGGGAGACTTTGTTTGTGACCCAATATGTGGTCTATTTTTGAATATGTCCCATGAGCACTTGAGATGAACGTATATTTTGTGGCTTTGGGGTGAAGTGTTCTGAAGATGTCAATTAAGTCCATCTGATCTAGTGAGTCATTTAGGATTGCTGTTTCTTTGCTGATTGTTTGTCTAGAGGATTTATCCAGTGATGTCAGTGTATTAAAGTCCCCTACTGTGATTGTATTGTTGTCGATCTCTCCCTTGATATCTTCCAGGATTTTTTTTATGTATTTGGGTGCTCCTGCATTGGGTGCATATATGTTTATCAGGGTTATATCTTCTTGTTGTATTGATCCCTTTAGTATTATGATGTGGTCTTCCTTATCTCTTGTTATGGCCTTCACTTTGATGTCTATTTTGTCCGATTTAAGTATTGCTACCCCAGCTTATTTTTTCATTTCCAGTTGCCTGAAAGATATTTTTCCATCCCTTCACTTTCAGTCTGTGTGAGTCCCTTCTTCTGAGGTGGGTCTTTTGTAGACAGCAAATGTATGGGTCATATTTTTTTATCCATTCAGCCACTCGATGTCTTTTGCTTGGAGCATTTAGTCCATTTACGTTTAAAGTTATTGTTGAAAGTTACTTGTTTGTAGCCATTTCTTTTTTGTGTGTGGCTGTTTTCTTTCTGAGCTTTTTATTTCTTCTTTTTACACCAGTCCCTTTAGCATTTCTTGCATTGCTGGCTTGGTGGTGATAAACTCCCTTAGCCTTTTTTTGTCTGTGAAGCTTCTTATTTCCCCTTCAATTTTGAATGATAGGCTTGCTGGATATTGTATTCTTGGATTCAGTCCTTTGCTTTGCATCACTTTGTAAATTTCTGTCCATTCTTTTCTGGCCTGATATGTTTCTGTTGAGAAATCATTTGATAATCTAATGGGATATCCCTTGAATGTAACTTTCCATCTCTCTCTTGCAGCCTTTAAGATTCTCTCTTTGTCCTGAACATTTGCCATGGTAATTATGATGTGTCCTGGTGTGGGTCTTTTTAGGTTCACCTTGTTTGGGACTCTCTGTGCTTGTGTGATTTTTTTCTTCCCCACCTCTGGGAAGTTTTCTGATATTATTTCTTCAAATAGGTTTTCTAACCCTTGTTCCTCTTTCTGTTGTTCTGGCACCCCTATTATTCGTATGTTGTTTCTTTTCATGCTGTCCCATAGCCCCCTTACACTCTCCTCCTGTCTTTTAATTTTTTTCTCCAATTGCTCCTCAATTTGGGTGTGTTTTGTTTCCCTGTCTTCTAATTCGCTAATTTGGTCCTCCGCTTCTCCTAATCTACTGTTGAAACTTTCAATGGTGTTTTTTATTGCAGCTATATCACTCTTCATTTCTTCTTGGTTCTTACATAATTTGTTGGGGTTTTTTTATCTGTTTCTTCTTGCTTCTTGCATAAGTCGTTGATTTTTTTCCTCCATCCATTTTATGCACTCTAGGACCTTTAATCTGAATTCTTTTTCTGTCATGTTGCATGCCTCTGTATCACTTAGCTGCTTTTCTGGTGAGTCCCCCTTTTCTTTCCTTTGGGGGTTTCTTTGTCTACCCATGTTTGATTGTACCGCCATATCTAGATGTTGAGTCGTTCAGTGGCTGCTCCTTGGGTGGCAGTGGCTCCTCAGGCTGCAGTGGCTCCTCAGGCAGTTGTGGTAGCAGCTGCTCCTCAGTTGGTAGCAGCTCCTCTGGTGGGTGCTGTTCACAGTTGTGGTGGCTTCTCTGGCCGGTGGGGGGAGGCTTCACACACAGCTGCTGTTCCTCAGACAGAGGGTGTGGTGATCAGGAGGCTGCTGTTCCTTGGATGGGGGCGGGCTACACAAGCAGCTGCTACTCCTTCAAATTGTTACTTTTAATCTCTTAAGTGGCCTCAGGGCAATGTGTTTTCCAATAGGGTGTGTAAACTGTCTTCCCCCCAGACAAGGCAGATCTCTATCCCCCCAGGCAGGGCAGATGTCTTTGTGGCTATGTGAGGGAGTGACTGAGCCGAGGAGACTTGGAGTGTCTGCCTTCTGAGCTCTGTCCCCCGAGTCCCCAGTGCTGGCTTCTGCTCTCACAGCTCCAGTCCACTTCACCCTCCCTCTGCCAGAACACTAGGGGGTGGCTCCACAGGGAATGTTTGTGCCTTGGCCCTTTAAGAGGGTGCCTGAACTTTCAGCTTCCACTCCCTGGCAGACAGCATCCCACTGCTTTTCACAGCTTGATGTTATTTGGATACCTTCCTCAGTTTGGTGCTCTCTGCTGGGGAGCCCAGCTCCGGGATTAGATCCCAGAATTCTCTGTGGCACCTCCCCCACCTCCACCACCGGCTGAGATATCTCTCTGGGACTTCAGTTCCCCTCTGTGGGTCACGTCTCTGCCCCTCCTACCACTCTCTATGCTGGTTCCACCTTCAGTCCTTGGGTATCAGGGTTCTCTCCTGTGAGTTTTCCATTGATTATTCAGGAAGCCTTCTCGTATTTCAGTTGTAATTCCAGCTTGTTCCTGGGAGCATGACCATGCAGCATCCTCCTACTCTGCCTCCATTTTTAATCTCTCTATATATTGTGTTTGAACATAATTTCATCATTATGCTATTCTGTCAGATATGCTATCTTGATCTCACTTTAAATTCATGACAGTTACCCTCAGTGATGTATTATGATTATCTTATGAACAAAATTTATAACACCAAACAAACACAATCATAATATTTACATGAATAAATAATGAGAAAGGCCATCATTTTACATAAAAATAATTATAATTCTAACAAATCCCTGCGAGTGCCTGTTTGCATACAGTAATGGTTCTAACAATTTTGGCATAATCAAAATAGCTTTATTTCCTGTATAGATTTAATTGCAATTAGGTACATTGATAATTTACTTTCTAGTTTTAATGTTATTTATTTTGAGGGCAAGTCTATTTTTAACTTTTTCATATGCTTTGGGTATAACACTGATATCAAGATGCTAATATTTCTCCTCAATATTTTGCTTGCTTTCTAGTTGACCTACTGACTTCAAAATGTCTGAAGTTGGATTCAGTAATCTGACATGGGATCAAGTTATAATACTGGATCAAGTGTTAGGTGAAGTAATTCCAATTCATGGAAGGGGGAATTTCCCCACATTGGAGGTAAAACCAAAACATATCATAAATGTTGTCAAAGATCAACTGATAGAGCAAGGAATTATTGTTAAAGATACCCGGTTGAACGGTTCCATTGCAAGTTACATACTTGCAAGCCGCAATGGAATCATCTATAAGGATCTGGATGTTATTTTTCGTGTTGAACTACCAAATGATAAAAAATTTCAAATTGTTAAGGATGTAGTTCTAGGTTGTCTACTTGATTTTTTACCAAAAGGTGTAAAAAAGGAAAATATTACCCTAAAGTTCATGAAAGAGGCATATGTGCAGAAGATGGTCAAAATTTGCAATAAGCACGATCGATGGAGTCTCATCTCTCTTTCAAACAACACTGGGAAGAATGTAGAGCTAAAATTTGTGAATTCACTTAAACGGCAGTTTGAATTTAGTGTAGATTCTTTTCAAATCTGTTTGGATAACATGTTAGAATTCTACAAGGTCAAAAATGCTAAGTTAACCCAAAAGTCATATCCTGTTGTGGTAGTTGAAAGCCTATATGGAAACTTTCAAGAAGCAATGACGCATTTACAATACAAGCTTATATCTACCAGAAAACCTGAAGAGATTAGAGGTGGTGGCCTTCTGAAGTATAGCAACTTGCTGGTTCGAAACTTTAAGCCAGTTAGTGAAGCAGAAATCAAGACCCTTGAACGTTACATGTGCTCTAGATTTTTCATTGATTTTCCTGATGTAGTAGAACAGCAAAAGAAGATTGAATCGTACCTACGCAACCATTTCATAGGTGAAGAAAAAAGCAAGTATAACTATCTTATGACCTTGCGTGGAATTGTGAATGAAAGCACCGTTTGCCTCATGCGTCATGAAAGAAAACAGACAATCGATATGATTACCAATATGGCTTTAAAAGTACTAGGAGAACACAATATTCTACCCAATACAAACAATGTAACTTGCTTTTATCAACCTGCTCCATACTTTTTTCCTAGGAGAGGGTATTCTTCTTTTTATATAGTACCTGGACCATCAGCACCTATTTTCTTTCAGCCATTCCTACCAGGGCACCCTAATGTGCCAAATGGTATGATTTAAAAAACACACATGCAACAGAAACTTGCTTTAATTAAACACCTCTTAAAAGCAAGTTTACAAATTCCATAAAATTTAAGATCTATTATTATTTGTATGGAGTTACCAACTATTTTTCATTGATTATAACATCATAGTAAATAAAATATCATCTGTGAACTGACCACTTCAAATGATTTTCAAAGATTATTAGCTATAATACCTTTCAAATGTTGTGGACCACTTAAAATGATTTTCAAAACTTACCACTTAATGACTTTCAGATTTGCTGTGATAAATACATTAGAGATGCCTGCATTCTGATTAAAGTATAAAAGAACAGACTCGTGATTTCAATCCAGAGATAAGACAAATGCCAACATTCAGTCAATTCCTTTATGTTCGCTTCATTGGTAGCTGAAAGCCTATATGGAAACTTTCAAGAAGCAATGATGCCTTTACAATACAAGCTCATATATACCAGAAAACCTGAAGAGATTAGAGGTGGTGGCCTTTTTTCTAGTTGAATACTGTCAATGGATTTTCAATACTTAACAGAAATGACTCAGTTCAAAGACAATCGATGTAGAAGATATTAGAACCCTAGACTTTGCAACCATTTATTTTATTTTTCAATTAAATTGGGTTAGATACAAATTCCTACTATAGTTTGAAGGGACACTGAAAATATGATACTGGAAAATACTGGGCATTAGTTATTTATCAACTAAGTTAATTTAATTTGTAGGTTTGCTGAATAATATCATCTGGCTGTACAACCAATACTGTGACCAGTTACATAAGTTTCTTCATTTTTCTCCCAAAGAAGTTGAAAAGAATGAGAATTATCAACTCTCAATATGAAAGTTTATCATCATCTATTAAAAAGAGACTTTAAATGGCTAACAGCAAAAAAAGTAAGCAGAGGTTTTTAGTTATGGCATTTATCATTTTTTATTATCTACCTGAGGAGCATGTTAATATATCTGGAGACATTCAGTGTTAATAAGTGAAATATTTTAATATAACTAAATGAAGCATTTTCTTTTTATTTTGCCATTACCAAAAATTAGGTACTAGCATGCCATTCAAGTGCCTCCTCTGTGAATTTTTCCATAACACTAATTTACTCAGCAATTGCATATATTTATCCAGTATCTAAATATCAACTCAGTACATCAAATATATTGCTATCAAATCTACCAGTGGTAGTAAAACAGTGTTTTCTTTGTATAATGAAGAAAATTACAAATATTATTAGCTATGACATAATGAATATAGATAAGGCCATCAGAAAACTTCAATATTTTTACTTCCGATTTTTTATGAATTTCCATGTCAGTTTTCATTAACCATTCCAAGTTTTTCCATCACAGCATGATGCAGTAGGCATATTCTGAGTTTGTCACTTACAGACTGTGCTTAATCTGTCTTCTCTGTATCATAGTATTGGACACAAGAAGTACACCAAATATGGCATTTTCAAATACTGTTTTTCATATGTTTTGTACTACAGCACCACTGGGTATCAATATATTTTTAAAGAACCATATTTTAAAATATGTGTATATACACACATATAAATATATACAAATATTAGTCACACAATGCTGAGGCTGTATAACATGGGTTCATCTCCTTGCTTGGGACAAATAATTAATAAATGCTTCATTAAAGAGAAAATTTTATAATCTATTGACAGAATATATTGGCTAAAAATGAGGGATCTTTCTGCCCTAAGTGTTCAGTTTGTGAGAGTGCATGTACTTAAAACTGAAGGAGTATATGCTGTATTAACAGAATGAAAAAAGTACCAAAAGATATAGGGAAAGTATTTAAGAATAAAAAGACTATTTTAGTGATGAATTATAGGTAAAGGTTCAATATTTTCCATAGTAGCATTTTATGCTGAATAGGACAATTCTGAAGCTTTGGGGAATATCTTATCCCCCATGTGCACACTTAGCTTCCTTTGGTCCGATTGAAAAAATTTAAAGCTTTTTTAAAAATTTCACTTTATTTTATGTTTTTCCATCTCCATTTATCCCCCCTATACCATACTCTTCCACCCCCACTCACCACCACCTGACAATCACCACACTGTTGTCCATGGTCTTATTGAGAATTTGAACTTCTTCCCTAAAAAGCAAATTCTTTATCGTATCCTCCTAAAGCTTTAAATCCTGCTGGGAGGATGGCCTGCTTCCTCATAAAATTTTATGCATGTGTTTCCATTATAGTAAAAAAAAAAAGCTTGCAATTGGCATGTAAGATTTTCTCAAGAGAGACAATCCAAACCTGTTGAATGGGAATGATATTACTAAAGAGGAAACTATAGCTTTATCTCCAGGCTTTTTTTTATATATAGATACTATCACTAAGCTAGGCTATCCTTTGCTCTCAATCAAGCAGGAGGACAACATAAAAATGAAACTTTTATATATAAAATGTGGTTACATTCCCAAATTGAAAAATAATCACTTCTAATATATTTTTAATAAAAATTGGTATTAGATAGCTATTAAAATTTAAAATTTCTGTTTTAAAATTTTTCTTTTATAAATGTTCACCTCCCTCTAGTAGTATTTGTCAACCCAAACATATATTAGTGGATATTTGAATAAAGAGGATTGAAAGTGATGTTCTTTAAGCCTTATATGTGACCTCCTTGAACAAAATGATTTTTACATAAATTATTTTATGGTTTTGAGAGTTTTGTTAAAGTAGCTTTGACACACAGTACTAAATGCTTTAGAAAAGCAATAGTTGTTTTGGCAGTGAACTCAAAATCTCTTATTGCATCTCCTATAGTTTTATTAGCAGGTAAAATGCTTTCAGATAGTGTCAGCTAGTAAAAAAATTATAACAGTTTTTAAGGTTAAAAATATACTTCTTTTAAAAGCACTTAAATATATCTTTAACATGAAAGGCATCATCTTCTAGGTAAAGAGTATATAGCCTGAAACAGAAACCATGCCATAGAGGTTATCTGCTTTAGAAATGTAGAGGACCATATTTCATATGCTGTCAAGAGATTTATATGAAATTCAGTGCCTGTTTACTAAGTCAAGGAGTGTACCTCTGTAAAAGGGACATACAAATTGTAATCCTGACAGCTTACAAAAAGGGGGCAGGTAATTAATTTTACTGAAAAGCAAGTTTTTATTTCCTCATTTATTTCTTCTACCTTTTTCTTGTTTGCTAAAATGATACCTCTCTGCTCACAGTGATCAGAGGCAAAAAAGAAATGAAGTCTAGAGACAAAGTTACTATGGCTTATATTACCAAAAGATAAAATGACACTTTTCTAAGTTTAGTTTCTAGTAAAGGGAGAGTCTGGAAAGATCAGAATTATTGACTCATATAGAATTGTGATCATAGATTGCCCCATTCTAGTGATTAAAGCTTCCATGTATGCATGTGGATAATCCAGTTTTAGGATCTCTGATGGTTTCAAGGTTTCTCTTAACTAGGGTACACCAACAACACTTTAATTTAAAGGCCATGATTCTGGAGATAAACATTAACTTTTCAGTTTTTTAAGAACCCTGAAATTCTAGTCAACTAAATGTGAAATTACATGGCTTACTGTATCACTCAGAGTTCAGACTAGTGTAAACTATAAGATAACTTGTTTTAGTAAGAAATAGGTCATTTTTAAGCATTTGTTATGTGCTTTTGCATAATTCTTGGAAATTTTTAAAAGTTAGATAAGAAGTTGCATTTTAATTTCAGTTAGTAAAACCAATTGAACTGTTTTAAAAAACAAAAGCTACATATAATTTTAGATTTAATACATAAAATGACATGATAAAGTATACAAACTTACAAATATTTTAATTTCTATAGAATTAATATTACATTAGATTTGCACTATAGATTACATTACATTAATATTACAATATAAAACTATTAATAGATGATTTACCTTAGTTATAATGCAGTATCACACTTATTGAAATTTTTCAGTATATTTCATGTATTTCACTTAAAAATAACCTGATGGATTATCTGAATTTTTTAGATCTCAATCCATTCTGATTACATTATATTATCCTATGGCTATTTTTTCAATTTTTCTTTAAGTTCCCTATTTACAAATGACTAATGATAAAACATGAGATGACATAGCAAACTCTAAATCTTTAAGTAAAGATATTCTGCTGTTTTAAAACAAATACCATATATCTAAACAATACATCTACTTTATATCCAAATGCTGTTACTAGATTTAATTGGAAAGTAAAATTCACTTTGACAGCTGTGGCTAATTATTTCATCTCACATAGTCTCTGTTTATATTGAGTGAAATCACTGTTTGTAACTTCCCTTCTAGTTTAAAAAGCATTCTAGAAAGTTTTTTCTTTAAAGTTCTTCTGTATGTTAAGTGAAAGTCTCAACTTGTGAAGCAAAGAATTAAAGCAGTTATTCTAATAATTCCAGCCAGAAACATGTCACTAAGTAATGAACAAGGAAAAGTAAACCTAAATTATTTATGGTCCAAGTCACTGACCAGATGAATATAACTATTGGATATGAGAAAAGTCCTACAGTACCATTTCACTAGATGTGAAAAAGTTCGTCCAATAAAAATAAATTTAGTTTGACGATCTGAATTCAATGCTTAGCAAACAAATTAAAACCAAAAGTTTTTATCTTAAATATGTGTTTCAAGTTTTAGTTAATTCAAATCCAATTGTTTAGTATTAAAGAAAATATCAGTAAAAAGAGTTATAGTCACTGAGTGGGAAATGAAATAGAAACATCTAAAATAGTTGCCCAGCACCCAGTAAAATTGCTGATGTGATTTCCTACACTAAGTCTGGTAGACAGATCTGCATGTTAACATTAAACAATTCAACACTTTAGGAAATCTGTGAATATTAATATAGCTTCATAAATGTTTTAGTTGCCTTGTTAGCCTTATAGTTCACATCACCAGTTTTAATCTCTTAAAGAAAAATTTTTGAAATATTCTTAAAAACTTGTGTTTCTGTAAACGAAGAGTATTAATAGAGTGTCTA